CTTGAAGCAGGAGGACATTGTTGCAATTGTTTCTGGGCGATAGTGGGCGATGGTGGTCAAGGTGCAAACTGGGGGGGATGTGGTTGAAGTCGGACTCATATGTTCTCACGGCAGGTGCCGAAGACCATACTCGCGCGGTTTCAAATGCTTCCAGGCTCTCTGTCTGCACTGCAAGACGGTGCAAGACTACTGAACGTACAGGTCTACTTTGGAATGATACGGATACGAAATGAGCCAAAGAAGAAAATCGAAACGAAAATATTGCGGCGTGGCGTCTCCCCCCGCCGGACACCCGCACTACTCGTACAAGGTATGAGCCCATCCCTCTATTTCATACCCGTCAGTGGGGTCTGGTAAATCCTGTCCGTGTGGTGTTCCCAGGGGTGAATCTAGTAGGGCTAGTGTACCCCCATGTAGCGCCTCGACAGCGGAGGTATCGAGCTGTTCCCTGGGATCCTCGACCTCTCCGTGGCCTCGTTGATGAACCCTAGGGTGAAGTCTCGGAGAGCCCTGGGCGTCATTGGGCGACCTATCTCGACCGACTTCGCCCTTGGTCTTGCGAAGTTTTCGCGGGACAACGGCGGACGAGCCATCGTCATCAGTGGGTGTGGTGGGGAGGAGGTCGTCAAACGTTGTAGGCGAGGTATTGGACGTTCGGGCCTCGAGGCTGCTCGTCATTTCAGGTCTTTTGCCTTTCATATCTCGGATCGCAGGATGAACGGCGGCTGCGACTACATTCCTTTCTCCGTCGGAAAGATTCGTGAGTTCGGCCAGCATGCTCCACCACTCGTCCTCTGTGACTTCTTCGTCGAGCGCTGCGAGGCTGCACTCGGAGGCAGGCAATGCCTCAGAGATGCTGTCAATACGCGGGATGGCAGCTCCCAAGCTTGACTGAGGACTACGGGACATTTTGCAGACTACGTCGGAATGACTGCGGTGTGACTGCGGTTCATATCTCGCTAAAAGTCGAGTTTGGCGGCGGCCTCGAGCTCCTCTTCGATAACCAAAGGTCGCACAAGCTCACGCTCCCCGCCCGCGTCCCGCTCGACAATTCCACCTCCTCACCCCCTTCTTCCCCTCCCTCACCCCAGAACAACGAGTACGAAGGCGAGACGAAGCCCGTCGACGTCGCGTACCTCATCCACTGGCTGCGCCACCACCTGCTCAAAGAGCGCGCGGAGCTCTTCATGGAGGGCGATACAGTGTGAGTTCTCTCTCTCTCCGCTTATGAGAAAATGCGAAGTTGGTTGTGTATATAGGGTGTAGACGGCCCGGGATCCTCGTGCTGATTAATGATACGGACTGGGAGCTGGAGGGCGAGGGCGAGTATGTGATCAAGAATGGGGACGAGGTTGTATTTATATCAACGTTGCATGGGGGGTGAATTTCATATAGTCGGGTTATTTATCAGGAATCGATGTAAGGTGCGTCGCCTGGTCTTACCTGTCCCCGGGTCTCCAGTATCATTCGCTGAACCCGGCGCAGAACTAGGGAAGATGTCAAAACTGCTGTTGTCATACAGTATGTATCGATAGGTCGACACCAGCAGACGTAGAATACAACATGCTAGGTATCGAAGGCGCTGTGCAGGATCCTGTCCCCGCTACCATCAACCAGCACAGTTCGTCTCAAGCAGACCCCTCCGATCGGCATCGAAAATCAGCCTCAACCCGGTCTTATCCACTCCTTTTCTCTCCACCATGACAGTATATATTTTCTCCATCCCCGTTCTTCCTTTTCGTTCTCCCCATCCCGCTATATACTCGCAAACTTCTCCAGCGCACGCATCACTCCTCCAGAGTACGCCCGTCCCACACTGCCCACGCTCTTCGGACTTGATAGACTCGGCTGACGCTGAAACCGGCCGCTCAGTGGGATTCGGGTGTGGTACGGCTGGTCTTTGCGCTATTAGGGGGAGCGGGAGGTCGACGTGTCAGTGGCCCGCGTTAGGTGAGCATATTTGTATATATCTGATCCAGGATTCAGACGAAGCGACGAGATTTGGGGCGCGGTCCTCCCTCCCCTTGCGCCAACGCACACGGTGTTCCAGTTCCAGGGAGGGAGAGGGTATGTTGTGACTTGATGTGTCAGGCAAGTTGGCTTGTGTCCGTGAGGTCGGGATGGTGTTCGCTGACAGGCGAGCATGTTCGAGTTCTTGCAACGCCCAAAACGCCCCACTCCTGCCTTGGTGCAATGCATCAAGGCAGCAGAGAATTATGCGCTGATTTGACTGAACCACAGCGAGCATTGGGCCGAATCCATGCTGATAATCATGGGAGCGCCGGTCGCCGTGACTCCAGAGAGCGGGATCGGGGTTCAGCGCAGGCAGAGGGATAGCCAGATGAAGTCTCGCGTTCAAAACTTCGTCTGGCTTGCCGTCCGGTGTGCGTGAACCTCAGACACCTAATCTTCGCGCTTCCTACTTCCTGGTGCAGTCGAGGACAAATCGCCACGCTCCTGGGAAGGGAAAACGGCACGGGGAGTTAGGTTCGTGAATCACAGTATGCCTGTCCAGTACCCAATGCTATACCCCAAGGGAGAGACGAACACCACTGGACATGCCCGAGCATGCCCTGGTATCTTCTGCCAGTCACGGGGCGATAGGCCGCGAGCTGGGCACGGCATCGAGCATATCGTGCTCTGACTCCCCGGAGATGGGTCGACGAACCACGGTGTCCCTTGGAGGGAAAGCATATTTCGTCACCTATCTCCGGGGAGGCAGCTTCATACGGCGCGCGAACTCGTGCACGCAACCGCGGCCTCCGAGACGGGAAAGGCCCCTGGACACGCGCGAGCACGTCCCGGTTCTTCCACCCTCCTGTGGGTGTTCGCGGAAGGCTAACTCCGTGTCGCGCATACATGCATACTCGCTGTGCGCCGATTCCGCGGAGACGTACAGGCGACCCGGAGGATCCCTTGGACCGTCCGATTCGTATACTCTCTCTGGGGAAGTCGGGTTGTTGGCAGGCTGTATTTCCCCGGGAGGTGGGTGCCGAGTCCCCGACTCTCCCTGGCTGGACAGGGACAATGTGCCCATTTCTGGAGGGGTCGACGTGAAGCCAGACCAGGACATGCGACCCGCGCCGATTTCCCGGAGATGGGTAAAACAGGATAGTCCGCCTACTGGAGGACTCACCCGTCCTACCGATCTCTCGTGAAGTCCGCCCGTGAAGCTAACTTTCCATGCATGCCTAAGGTGCACGCTCAGACCAGGCACAGTTTGTCCGGAGATGGGTAGAACAGTGCTGTCCGTTCCAATTGGATCGGCCTCTTCTTGTCTCTCTTGGGCAAGTGGGCCTGTAAAGTGGAGCGATGCGACCGGAAAGCTGTTATATGTCGCGTGTGCTATGGACTGTTCCCTGAGAGACGGCTGCTGACTTACCGGAGCCATCGGCTGCATTGCAGATAAGGGGGTACGTTCCTTGAAGAAACTAAACGTCGATGGGTCCGATGGTGGGCCCATGCAGCACCATCACGTCCTTCACAATACTCCTGCGAGACAGACACGACGGGGGCGTCGGTATTATCGACGCGTCCATAGTCCAAGCGCAGGAGCGGTGAAAGGGAAGACGAGGCCCGAAACCATGTATCGGAGTGCGAGAGGAGTGGATACTTTCCGCCCTGTGCACTCCTGTCTTAAATACCTCTGGAGCGGGGTCAAAGAGTGGCAGCCACCTTGTGGCCATGCCTGTCTCAGCCAAGCGTGATACGCTATTGTTGTGGGGCGCACGGACCCACTGTCGATATCGGTCGATGCGTTCATTGAACCGTCTGGAACCAATCGTACAGCGCGCCCGGGTCCGAATTGGCCGAGTGGCTTGGTGGGTGGGGGTCAACGCGCTTGTAGATTTCAGTAAAGGGTAACCATGCTTTTGTGTTGATCGGTGGATATTTTGCCAAAGATGATATGGAGTTTAAGGTTCAGTTCCGTCTACGTCCCCTGAGAGACTGAGGTGCTTGTAAGTCGATGCCGGAGGCCTGGAGACCTCACAGCCAGATTAATGGTATCGCTCACGGATGGCGGAGTTGGTATGTCGTTCAGGTCTGTGCTGATGCTATGGATCTAGACAGCGTTAGAACACTCGAGATGAAGATATGCTTCATGAATTGCCGTGTGGTGGCGGACCACTTATCGAGCATTCAGCGACAAGCATTTGAGCGTGTCCGCAGACCGGGTCAAGCACGACCTGCGACTATCTACACGTTCACGACGGAAGACAATAGAGGGTCGGATCCTTGAGGTGAGCCATTGTAATCTGATTCAGAATGTGACGTTGTCCTCCCTAGCTACAGGCCAAGGAATGCGGCGTTGCTGTAGCCGCTCTTAGCGGCGTGAGGACCAAGAGTCAGAAGACAAGACTGGAAGAATTCCTGGTATTCTTCGGAATATGGCCACAGTAGACGAGGGATGACTCGGCGTCGCATTAACACCCAAACTAGGACATGAGGAGGTGGCGTAAGACTAGTATATATGCAACAAATAAGAGCATTCAGGTAGAATGTATGCGGTGGTTTCACCGTACATGCTGCTGTGTCTCCTTGCTTGACGGCTTATGATCGAAAAGGGGAATATATTGGTGATAGGAAGACGACATCCCCATCTGTCGCATTTCATAGTGAGCAATGAGATGACACGGCAAACATGCCCAGTACGGTCACCACAGCAGGAGGTCTGATAAGAATGTCATTTCCCAGCTATCAGGATAGTAGCGGAAGTCACGTAGGACCAAAGTTTCTGTACCAGTTAGAGGAAGGGACCTGGCGGGTACCGAGGTGCACCGTCACACATACCGGTGTAAGAGGGTAATAGATATCGGACTGAATAAGTAGATACAGGCAGGGCGAAGGCGTTTGTGACCTCCTCCGTCTAGGGTTCTGTATAGTTCAGGAATGCGTATAGCCTGGCGCTTGCCGCGTAATCAGTGCTCGTCGCCAGTGGTCTACCTCGACTGCTACAGCTGACAACTGTCCGCTGCCCATCTTTGACTCACTCTATCACGATGCTGACATTCATCGACATCCTCTTCACGAAGGCTGAGGCTATTTGCCTCAGAAGTCCACAGGCCATGTCGTCCCCGCTTAACGCAGGAGGTGACGACCTGACGAGGTTTACTCACTGGTTGTGATTTGTTTTCGATTGCACGGCTGATAAGAATCCGTCATATGTTGCACCCCGAGGCAGCGAAACGGTATAACTGACCCCCATGAAGATCCGCAGCGTCCAAGAGCTAGTCCTCGCATCCATCACAGGAAGTTAGACTTGTAAAACATCGGGGAGACTCCCGAGCCACACTATAGCTCTGGAGGTGCGGGGATCCAAGCATGCTCCCTGCACCGTCGAGTTCCTCTCGTTGCGACCGGTACCCACAGATTTCAGCCTCCACACTTGATATATATATCCCGCTTATAGCCCAGCCCGTGGTCAGGGGTTGGACAGCGGCGTACTGCACATCCTGCGTATCAGAGACGACCTGAACTCCGCCTGCTCCACAACTGCCAATAATGTCTGTACGTGTCTTCGTTTGATTGTAACAAGTGCCGCGTCTCTCTGAGCATCTTCAGTGGTTCCTACCGAATGCATAGCGAGTCGCGACGCATGTGCGTCCCTGGTTGACCGCTTGCACACGTAAGTACGGGGGCGCGGCGGTCCACCGGAGCCTCCCAGAGTTCAGAGTCAACAGAGCTTTCGTCCACGCCGATATTGCACTTGTGTATTAGCAAATTGAAATTGGGTCCAATTTATATACCTAATAATATTCACCCAGTGGATCTCTGTCCTCCCTTGCTTTGCCGTGGTTCGATGCCACAAATTGTCTGCGTACCGCACCAGGAACCGAAACGGAGACTCGGAGATGAAATCGGGCGCCACAAACCTTGTCGCTAATCGCGCTTCCACGCGACGCGTATCTTACGACAAGCCTGGCAAATGCCGTCCCCAAAGAGCAAAAGTCAGTCGTGCCATCCCGCTTCCCCTCCTCGTCCGCACCGTCTGGCACGTATTCGTCCCGTCTTTCTCCGCTGTGCTCTGTGCTTGACATGGTTCGAGTCTGACTAGAGGTCGTTTCTACTGCCTGGGTGCCTTCCGTATACGTCGTTTTGCTTCCCTGGAGGACGTCGGAACACTCGTCACCAACTGTGCTGTGCAGTAACATCTTCACGTATCGCAGCTTAGGCATGGCACTTGAAATATCTAGAAAAGGAGGACTTGGGGCTGAGATTCCATCTGAACGATCGCTGAGAGGCTGGGACCCACACGGAATCCTGGATGATAAGGGGCTTCCGACGTGAGCAGACTGCGACGGAATGGACTGCATTAGCGGAAACGCATGACTGGTTCGAGGAAGTTGAGGAGAATATAAGGGTGCGTCCCAGGAGAAGGTCGGG